TCTGTGTGTGTGTTTATGTGTGTGTGTCTGTGTGTGTGAGTGTGTGTGAGTATGTGTGTATGTACATGTGTGTGTCTGTGTGTGTCTCTGTGTGTATGTATGTGTGTGTATGTGTGTGTGTCTGTGTGTGTATCTGTGTGTGAGTATGTGTGTATGTATGTGTGTGTATGTGTGTTTGTGTGTGTGTGTGTGTGTGAGTGTTTGTATGTGTGTATGTGTGTGTGTGTGTGTGTGTTTGTGTGTGTGTGTGTGTGTGAGTGTTTGTATGTGTGTATGTGTGTGTGTCTGTGTGTGTCTGTGTATGTGTCTGTGTGTGTGTATGTGTGTGTAGGGAGGGTTGGAGGACAGCTTTTGGGTGTTGGTCCTCTCAAAACTCAGGTTCTCAGGATTCCCGCTGGGCCATCTTGCTCACCCACTGCCTGAGTTTCATGTCAAAATGGACGGTGATAGTTGAAGACAAACTGTTAAGTTAATGTGGGTTCGCCCTCTCATGTAGATAAGCTTTCGTCCTCCTCATCATCTGGGAAGGCCAAGGGACATTTTACTGTCTCATGAACCTAAACATCTCATGGCAATTAAGTAAGGGCTGGCACACACCATGGAGAACCAGCGGCTTCTTTGCCTCAGGCATTTAGGTGTCACCAGGACCAATCCAGAGCTATCCTGAGCCCTGAGCTCAGCCTTGACAAACTTGACCTGCCTCCTTCATTCACCATCTCTCTGTCTGACCCCCACCACCACTTTTTCTTTTCCTGTGTAGCCCTGGCTGTCCTGGAACTCAGTCTGTAGACCAGAATCTGCCTCTGCCTCCCGAGTGCTGGTGTAAAGGGAGGGACAGGGTGACAGCACCAAGGCCCCTGAGGAGATTAGCTGAGGAGAGATAGCACTGTCATTGAGAGTCCTCCAGCCTCTGAAGGGTCACAGGAGACTTAAGAAGAGGGAGGGCCCTTGCAGAGCAGCTGGCTGTTTTTAGGGGAGGTTTCACGACCCTCAGAAAATTGATGTGACTCGGTGCCCTGCTAATCATTTCTAGGTGTAACCCAGGCAGGTTTGTTTTGCCTTTTCTGAGCCTCAGTTTTCCCATCTGCTTAAAGGGCACAGTATTGGTGTCTCTCCTGGAAAAGGCTGAAAGGGTAGATTGAAGTCATGGGGAGTAGACATCCAGGTCTGGAGCCTGGCATGCTGTGGGTGCTCAAGAAATGTCCCGTGTTTATCTGCCTCCTTTTCCTCTTCTGTTTCCTTCTTAACAAAGCACCCAGTGTAAACCTGGACAGTTCAGTGTGCAGTGAGTGGGTTAAAGCCTGTCAGTGTTTAACCACAGCTGCATGGACAGAATGAGCCTCTGGATCCCTTCTAGCATGAAAACACCAGTAACAAAATAAAATGAAACGCCTCTGCAGCGGGGACAGAGTGTTCAGAATATCACATTCTTGGGCTCTGCTCAGCCTACTGTGTCCCTGACACCCAGGGCAGGGCCCCGCAGGGGAAGAAGCCAGGAAACTGCTTCCAGTCTGGGACTCCACCTGCCACACTGTTGCTGTGTGACTGTGAATGAGTTTCCTAACCTCTCTGGGCCATATCACACCATCCTTTGTGGACTAAATTCAGAACATGGACTGGATGAGTTAAGAAGCCCAGGCTACAGCTGTGTGCCCAGGGCACCTGGGATGGTAGTTAGGACACTCAGGGACAGTGGGAGCTCCTGGAGTCTCCAGGCTGTAGGGTGTGTGTGGGGGTGTGTGGGTGTGTGTGTGTGAGAGAGAGAGAAAGAGAGACAGAGGCAGAGAGAGAGAGACAGACAGAGAGAGACAGAGAGAGACAAAGACAGAGACAGAGACAGACAGAGATAGAGAGTCGGAGAGAAGGAAAGAGGGAGAGAGGCTTTGCTCTTTCTGTAGCTCCCAGAGACTGTGACGGAGACTCCAGGGCATAAGGCCTCTACAGAAGTTCCCCTCCCCTGAACAAAAATCCTAGTGTTAAGTGCTCTGCCTGCTCTTCCAGAGGACCCTGGTTTAATTCCCAGAAACCACATGGTGGGTTAACCCTCTGTAACTTCAGTTCCAGGGGATCTGACAGCCTCTTCTGGCATCCAAAGGCACCAGGCCTACATGTGGTACACACGGAAATACATGCAGGCAAACCATGCATGACTGCAAAGCTGGCATTACTCAGAAGTGGCCAGAAGCCAGCCTCCTACACTGAAACCTGCCCAGCTAATTTTTCTACCCCCCTCCAAGGTGAAGGCACCCAGATCCCAGCATCAACTCACCAATGGCTGTGAGGAAGAGCCCAGCCTGGTCAATGGGGGCACTGCCCTCCTCATCATAGTAGTTGACGGTGACCTTGGTGGAGGTACACGTGGGGACAAGACAGAAGGGCAGAGGGTCACAGGTTATAATGAAAAATAAAACAAACAAAAAACCAGAACTAAGCTCCTGCCTCTCAGCTGTCTCTAAACACAGGGCCCCCTCCTCCAGGAAGCACCCCGGGGCTGCTGATAACAGCCTCTCACAGATAATCTAACAGGACAGGGGGTTCCTCTCCCCTGCCTGACCTGTTCTCTAGCACCCCCACTCCTGCTTCCTAGGTCCACTACGCTGTGTGCCCAGCTCTGGCTAAGGCCCAGGGGCTCCATTGTTCCTTTGGATAGTGCCTGGTACCAACACAGCAACGGGCTAGAGCAGTGTTCATGAGACAGCCCAGAGTGGGGCTGTCTGGCTTTGGCTATATCATCTGGGCAAATCACTTTACCCCTCATTGCTCAGCACCCCACTTTAAGACAGGCCTGGGTTGCTATGGCTATAATCTCTAATCATTCTAAGTCTGAGAAGTTATTTATTTGTTGTTATTAAAAACAAAAACAAAAACCCAAAACAAAACAAAAAAATAGGACTTGATATATGCCCCAGGCTAACTTCGACGCAGTGACGCTCCTGCCTCCTAAGTGCTGAGATTACAAGTGTGTCCCCAAATCCTGGTTTCTCTTTGCATATGTGCATTTTGAAACACTGGCATCATGTAGCTCAGGCTAGCTTGGTACTAAGTAGTTGAGGCTGGACTCCAGCTTGCAGCAATCCTCCTGCCTCAGCTTCTGTTTCCTTCAGCTCTCTGGGGCTTCCTTCCTTTCTTCCTGTACTAGGAATTGAACTCACAGCCTCACACATGCTTGATACATAACTACTGAGCATTCATTCCCACTGAAAAAATTATTTTATGTGTATGGGGTTTTGCCTGCATGTATTTCTGTGTGTACTACATGCAAGCCTGGTGCCTTTGGAGACCAGAAGAGGGTGTCAGATCCCCTGGTACTGGAGTTACAGAGGGTTAAGCCACCATGTGGGTGCTGTGAATTGAACCAGGGTCCTCTGGAAGAGCAGACAGTGCTCTTAACCGCTGAGCCACCTCTCTGGCCTCTAGATTTCATTTTTTGAGACAGGGTCTTCTATGTTCCATGATGGCCAAAGCAGGCCTTGAACTCTTGATCCCACTGCCTCTACCTCTTAAGTGCTGGGGTTACTGGTGTGCGGCTCCACGCCTGACTGTTTTCTTCCCCCTTTTCACTCTGCTGAGGGACTGGGAAGGATTGATGACACACGCTGTTTTTATGGCTCAGGCTAGTGTGACCCCAATCACCCCCAAGACTCCAGCATGGCCCTGGGCTCCCTCAGTCCTGGATATTGACTTCCTGGCCATGTACCTTGTCGCTGCTGGCCTCTGTGCTGGCCTGGGCCATGCTGAGCCGCAATGTGGTGCTGGGCGAGAGGGCCCAGCGCTGCTTGCCGTTAGTGACCACCTCCTCAGCCTCCTCATCACGCACCACCTCCACCTTCACACCCTCCGAGTGCTTCAGGCTGAAGGTTTTGGCCCCAGCAGGGGCTGCACTGTAGGGAGAAAGGTCAGGAGATCAGGGGTAGCCTGGGCTAAGTAGGACAGGGGCCTCAGCAAGAGAGTTCCAGAGGGGCAGGGCTCCCAGGCTGTGTGGCCTGTGGGACCCAGGCAGACCTAGCTGTGATGCAGGAGATTATGAAGGGCACAGAGTCCTGGGCCAATCTTGTACCTGCTGAGTTGGAGTCCAGGAGCTCCAAATCTCTGTCTCTCTCTGTGTTTCCCTGTCTCTCTCCATCTCTGTATCTGTCTGTCTCTGCTATGCTAGGCAAGTACTCTGCCACTCAATCATGCCTTCAGCCTTAGAGCCAGAAATTTTTTTCTTGTTAGATAGGATATTTTCCTGCCATTCAGGCTGGCTCCAATGTCATCATCAACCTACCTCAGCCTCCCCAGTGCTGGCATTGTTAGGCATGTAACACCACATTTGACTTAGGCTCTGATTCATTCATTCATTCATTCATTCATTCATTCATTAATTCATTCACTCATCTTACTACTTATTTATTGAGACAGGGTCTCTCGTAGTTCAGGCTGGCCTCCAATTTGCTATGTAGATGAGGGTAACCCTAAGCTTTTGATTCTCCCACATCTACCTCCATAGGCCGAGTTATCAGCCTGTGTCATCGTGCCTGGTTCATGCCATGCTGGGGACTGAATGCAGAGTCTCGGCCATGCTAGGCAAGCACTTTCCCAACTGAGCCACAGCTCCATTTTAGGCCTTGAATTCTTACTGGGTTCTTGATGCCTCTGCAGACGTATGACCCGCTTTGGGAGCACAGGGCTCTATAGGGTGGAAGGCAAGCCTAGACGAAGGGTGGTTCTGCTCCAAAGGCAGAGCTGGGCCTGGAACCCACCTTCTTACCTGTTGTCACTGGGGACTTAACAGGATGGCACTAAGCCCTGTAGGAGAGAGGACTCTGTCTCAAAGATCCCCAGCCCTGGAATTCCTCACCACTGAAGGTTGTCTCTTGGGACTCATGCATGGCTTCCTGCTGAGGGGGAAATGGTTTGGGAGCTGTGAGACCTCACCAAGACTTGGGTAGGGAGGGCACTGGCTTGCACTGGCTGCTAGGTACTGAAATTGATGTTCCCCAGATTCATATGCTGCCGATCTAACTCCAGCAGGGTGGCATCTGGAGACCTTTAGGAGATGGTGGAGGTTACACAGGGGCATCAGAGGTTCTAATCAGATATGAGTGGTGACCTTTTAAGAAGTGAGAGAGAAAACAAAAGAGCGAGTGTTCAGCAGTAGGTGACAGGGAAGCCAGGGGAGGGAGGTGCCAGGGCTGGCAGTTTGGGGAAACCCAGGGTTGAAGGCTTCTAAGGACCACAGTGGGTCAAGAGGCTTCGGCACCGATTCTTGTGGGATTTGAGAAGCTGACACTGCCGGCCTGAGTGTGTCTCAGAGGCGTAGCTGCTGCTCTGGGGGCCCGCGCTCCAAGTTCCAGAAATCTCAGAAACATTGAGGCGCTGTTTAAATATTCAGGGCATTTTCCTTTTCTTTAGTTTTTTTTGCTTTTGGACACAGGGTTTCCATAGGTAGCTTTGCCTGGAATTCATTATGTAGACCAGGTTGGTCTTAAACCGGCAACAATCTTCTTGCCTCTGCTGGGAATGCTGGGATCACAAGCTTGTGCTACCGTGTCTGGGTTTAAATCTTCAGAGCATTGTTTTCTTTTCATCTTTTTCTTTCTTTCCTACAGACTTTAGGGGTCACACCCCCTGAGAGGCTGTATGTTGGGGCCAAGTGAGACAGGGGCAGCAGGCAATGAAGCAGGGGCCAGCTGAAGAAGAGGCTTAAGCTGTGACTCTCAAATTCAGCAGCAGCAGCAACAACAATGGCAGATAGAGCCTTTGTCCAAACAGAGACTGCTGGGTCCTAAGAATGTACACTCTGGAAACTCCTGAGGCCACACTTTGAGAACCACTGATGTAACTAACCCTCAGCAGTGTGGTCTGGTAGTCCTAGCCTGGGAGTGAGCTATAGTGAGTCTGCAGAGGTTGCCAAGAAATCCTTTCTTGGTCTTTTGGCTAAGATAAAGTGGAGGGTGCTAGAGCCCCACCCTCTTTGAACCAATACCCTTCCATCTGGCTTTATAATCAAGCTTCCTGCACGCAGTTCTTCTGAGATACCCATGCTTAACAAACCACATCAAAAGCATGATCCCCCCAGGATCCCGTTAGTCCCCCATGCCAGTGGCGCCTGCCTCCATCTCTCTGAGCCAACAGGAAACCAAAGAAAGGAGCATCTAGTGGGTTAACATTGGGCTACATCAGAGCTCCCTGGCCTCCGTCCTCCCACAGTCCCACACCAACCCTGCTTGAGGCTGAGCAAACAGCTATTCTTGGAGAGGCCCTGGCAGAGGCCACAAAGATGCCATTGTTCTATGTGGATCCTGTTGGCTGCCTCCTCCCTGGGGAAGATCCTGTTAAAGCCCCCTGCAGAAACCCAAGAGCCTGGGGCTACCGATGGCTTGGGGTCTTAAAGGCTGAGGGACAGTGTGGCGTGAGGGAAAGGAATGGAGTGGGGTGGCTATGACCTCCTGGCTTACTGGAAAGAGTCTAAAGAGAATGGGACAGGAGGCCAGTTTGAAGGACATGTCTGCACTGTGTTGTCCCAGCACCCAGGGCATGCCAGTAAATGAATGAAAGAATTCTTCCTGATTGGCTTTGCAAGCTGGTATCAGCTCATTTTTTTATGTTTATTAATTTAGTGCGTGGGGGGGGGATGTGTGTGTTTATAGATGTGAAGACCAAAGGTTGACGCTGGATGTCTTCCTCTATTGATTTCTTCCTTAGTTTTTGAGGCAGGGTTTCTCACTGAACCTAGATCTGATCATTTTGGCTAGACTGGCTGGCCAGCGAGCCCCTGGGATCCACTTGTCTCCATCCCTCAGTTCTGGGGCTACAGGCCTATGCTGCTGCTGCACCCAGCTTTGTGTTGGTGCTGGAGGGTCTGAATTCATGTCCTCATGCTCACACACAAGCACTTTACCCTCTGAGCTATCTCCCAGCCCCTAATACCTGTGATGCTGTTCCCCGATTCTCCACCTGCCAAATGCCCACCTCTCGATGAATGGATTTGTGCCTGTGTTTATTTTTTACCCGTGGGCTGCATCTTAGTCCTTATTTTTTTTCAGCCCTGGCCTAATCCAGGCACAAATTAAAGTAAAAAGATTAGCTGGAGACGGGGCTGGAGAAGAAGGGCTCGCTCACAGTTAACACACATTTCCTGAGCTTTTATTATGTACCAGGCAGAGTTCTGGGTGCTGGGGAAAGACTGGCTAAAAAATAACATATCTTTCAACCCATGGAGCTTATATTTTAGTGAAAGAAAAAGGCCTTTTGTAGATTATGTAATTAAATGTGTTGTTGACTGCAACAGAGAGACGTGGTTGCCTGACTCCCCAGTAGTGTGCTTGCCTAACATGTGCAAGGTCTTGGGTTCTGAAATTATGGGGTGCATGATATCTGTGGTTCTCAGACGGTTCTCTGAGGAAGTAACATTTGAGCTAAACTTGATTTTCAGAAGAATCAGTTAAGTAAAAGAAAAAAGGCTTTTTGTAGATTATGTAATTAAATGTGTTGTTGACTGCAACAGAGAGATATGGTTGCCTGACTCCCCAGTAGTGTGCTTGCCTAACATGTGCAAGGTCTTGGGTTCTGAAATTATGGGGTGCATGATATCTGTGGTTCTCAGACGGTTCTCTGAGGAAGTAACATTTGAGCTAAACTTGATTTTCAGAAGAATCAGTTAAGTCGGTGGGTCTGGAACTCCAGCATCAGCTAAGGGAGGCACGCCTCTTTGTCAAGAGGATTTCTTTCAAGCTCCAAGCTGCCCTGATGCTGTGGGACCAGGAAGGCCTGACACAGAGAAAAGGGAAGAAGGTGAGTGTGGCTGGGTCTCTCTCTCGTGTCTCTGTCTCTCTCTGTCTCTCTCTCTCTCTCTGACTCTCTCTCTCTCTGTCTCTCTCTCTGTCTCTCTCTCTCTCACTCTCTCTCTCTCTGACTCTCTCTCTCTCTGACTCTCTCTCTCTCTGACTCTCTCTCTCTCTGACTCTCTCTCTCTCTGTGTGTGTGTGTGTGGCATGCGTGTATGCACATGGGGAGGTCATGACTGGGGGAGAGGTCCCAGACACGGTGGAGCTGGCCTTTCTCCTGAAGGAGGGAAGCCACCAAGGGCTTGCCAGCAAGGAGGAATTTCAGAAGAAAAACAATGGAAGTGTGTGTGGGGGGGTAGTGAGCCAGCCGGTGATGCAGGTGACGGCTACCATGTGTGTGGTGATGGTGCTTGGTGCTGGATGGTGGCCATGGAAACGGATAGAAATGGCTAGACAGACCAGTGCCCAGCTTCTCAAGTGCTGTGTGGCCTCTGGGGAGCCACCCAGCCTGTCTGATCTTCTCTTGGACAGTGGGGGAAGGTCTCGGGCCTAGCCTGGCAGGGCTGGAGAGGCCCACACAGCCTCACACTTGAGGGTGTGATGTGCCTGTCTTTGCTGGCCTCTGGCTCTCAGCTTGTCCATCTGGTTTGGACCTCATTAACACCAGCCGGGGTTCATCCTTGGAGCGATCCCAGCTCCTGGCAGCCAGGGTGTGACATCCTGCCCTCGGGTCTTTGGAGGAGTTGGAAGGGGGAGTTAGCTTGGTGAGCACCCTCAGGGTCAGAGATGAGGGCAGGGAGGATGATCTCAGGCCTCATACCCGAGGCTCACTATGGTGGAGGCCAGAACCCTGAGGGCTGGTACTGGCCTAGGCAGGGCTAGTAGAGGCAAACCTTGGCTTATGTGTATAGCTGGCCTCCTCCTCTACCTGGTGGTCCCAGACACCTCCATCACAAGGTGCTGTGTCTCTGGCAGCCCAAGGCCCCTCTACAGGGAAGAAACAATTTAATCTCTGGCAATTCCCTTCCTCAGAAGCTTTCCAGGACCAACTCCTACCTACAGGACGACATCCAGCCCCCAAGAAAAGGCTTCAAAGTCCCAGTTCTTGCTCT